ACCGACCCGCCGACTGACACAGGCGCCGACCTGACAACCTAGCCCAGACACCAACCCGCCGACTGACACAGCCGTCGACCTGACAACCTGGCCCAGGCGCCAACCTGGCCGCCTGACACAAGCGCCAGCCTGACAACCTCGAGTTCACCACCGTACCCCGTTTTGACGAGATATGACGAGTCTTACCGTTTGAAGGCTTTTCACCCACCTAACCCGCGAGGACACCACTATATAAGGACTCTAACCCCCAAAGCCAAGGAGGGGGAAAAAAAAGGATAGTAACCCCTGCTCTCTAGCTCTCTCATTTCTCTCCAAACTCTCTGTAATCAGAATGCTAACTTAGGCATCGGAGAGTCCCCACCGGGAAAATACCCCCGGGTCCTCTAATTTAGTTATCACAGGTCCCTTAGCTCCCGTCGCCTACAAAGGATAGGAAATTACCTCATGCAGAGGGCATTCGGGTTGCGCTGCACCAGGGAGCTCCACCATCCTCTGAGTTGCAGGCTGCCTAGGAGCAGGTCAAATGACGAGTCCACCAGACAGTTCTCCCCAGGCAGTTCGCCACCAGGCAGTTCGCCACCAGGCAATTCGCCACCAGGGAGTTCGCCACCAGGCAGTTCGCCACCAGGCAGTTCTCCCCCAGGCAGTTCGCCACCAGGCAGTTCGCCCCCAGGGAGTTCGCCACCAGGGAGCTCGCCACCAGGCAGTTCGCCACCAGGGAACTTGCCACCAAGCAATTCGCCACCAGGCAGTTCTCCACCAGGGAGTTCGCCACCAAGCAGTTCGTCACCAAGTAGCTCTCCACCAGGGAGCTCGCCACCAGGTAGTTCTTCACCAGGGAGTTCGCCACCAAATAGCTCATCACCAAGGCACGTCACCACCGGGTCAAATAACGAGGTACTTAGCCAAAAAAATTTATACATCACAAAAAATTGGTACGTGATCAGAAACGATTACATCAGGAATTATTTGCAAGATCCCACTCAGAAGAAATAATCGTGCCAACGTAACAAATGACAGCTATGAGCATAACGGGAGCATTACAAATAAAATGGAAAATATTACATGATCTTGATAAGCAACATAATTTACATGATTCACAATAACAACTACATCTCTTTTCTCACTAATAGAGAAGTGTTCAAAACAACTGAAGACATTTGTAGGGGAAAAATCAGAGAAATGAGAATCTAGCATGAAAAATAAGAAAAAAAAATGCATGGTGGCATGGGCCATCAGCAACTAATCATGATAAGGTTGTGATGTTTTTGTACTTGCATTCACATGTACACAGGCTTCTGGATTCTTTCACTACTCGCTGTGATCTACGGATAAGTAGTTTGATGTTCAACAACTTACCTGCAATCTGTTGCATGAGAAGAAAGAAATAAAGGTTTAAAAGAAGTTTCTCAGTGAGATTATCATGATTCTTAATATAAACTGTTAGATCCCTTTGTTAAATTGGAAATAAGTGATCTTATTGAACATGCATCTAGAAAACATTAAGAGTGCTATTACAGTGCTGCCTCTACGGGCTTGATAAGCTGAGGTTGCATGTCTCCGCCAGTTTATAGGAAGGATATTTAACAGAGTATTACTCCATTGAATAGGAAAAACTTGTTTAGATAGGGATTCTAGTATAAAAAGGGACTGATTAATCTAGACATTATTTCCAGTACAATGTGTGACTAACTGAAGTGTAGTGGGTGTCCTCTCCAACAGAGAATTGAGAGAGAGGGAGAGAGGGGGGGAGTAACAAACCAAGAAAGAGGACCACACCATTAGCAATTACCACAGACCTAATTGACCTCTAATCATTTGAAATTGTAGGCAGCACTTTTGCTCAGCAGGGTTGTCCATACATAACTTTTATAGAAGTGAAATATCAAAAACAAAAAAAAAAGAAAAACTTGTAATCAATGAAGAGTTTATGATGACAAACCATTCTCCAGGTCAAATCCTCTGGGCCAAGGGGTTGAGCTGGATTAGAGTATAGGAAATGTCTTGAGTACTGAAAATTTGAAATAACAATAGAGTTAGTTGGCAGATAGAAGCATAAAATGTCTCAAAAATAAGGTCCCATATTTCTAGAGATATGAGAGAGAGAGAGAGAGAGAGAGAGAACCAACAAGAATGTCAAGGGGATACAAACTAGGATTTCATTAATTGTTTTTCCAGGCTCTGACCCCGGATCTCCTGCAAGCAAAAAACTATGCTCACATAGCATTCAGCCACGTATTGAGAATATCTCCTGTACATTTATGTAAAATTCATGGGGAGATGAGATGTTCCCAATGTGTGGTGGGATTCCCATGCTTTCACAGTATGTGCAGATTTTTGCTTGCAGGGAATCCGATTGCCTAAGCAGCAGCAGAATAGCAAGGCCTTCATCATCATCAATTGATTAAAAACATGTTGTACAAGCCTCATCTTTTGACCAATTAATGGTGTTAAAAGCATGAGCTACTGCAGCCAGTAAAATACTTGCTATCGGCAAAGCAACGAACCTTGGCAAGGTTGGTGTGCATTTCTCTTATTTGTGAAGGACTGATACTCTTGAGGAATGTTAGAAGCCAGCCTGGTTGAACAGCATCACTTGAGGAGACAAATAAAACTATCTGCATAGAAGAAAACACGGGAGCTTCAGAAATTACTGAGTACAAATAAAGCAAAGGAGACAAGTTGCTGATCCACAATATCCATAAATTAAGTGACTTAGGGTCTGTTTGGTTTGCAGGAATAGGGGTCTGGAATCGGAATCGGAATGGGCTATTCCGATTCCAAATGTTTGGTTGGGCAGAATCAGAATCCCATTCCCATTCCTGATGGAATGGCATTCCCCCATTTTAGGGAATGGCCATTCCCTGCCCCTCCCTTCGGAATGAAATCCCATTCCTGCTGATTTTAATTCCCATTCCCATTCCTGTCTGAACCAAACAGACTATGGGAATGGACCATTCCGATTCCGACTACGAACCAAATGGACCCTTAGTGGTTAGTGTATCCTTGAGCAAAGATAATGCTACTACAATATGCTGTAATGTATGCATGTAACTAACATGGAATTAAGAACCACTCAAACATCATAAGAAGTTGTATTGTTATTATTATAACTACAACTTGAAAACAAGTTGTCAAATTGTCATACATAATATTATCTTAGAAATGTCAGAAATATGATCTCAGTCTTGGTAGTTTCCCCTTCTTTCAGGTGGATGGGGCAGGGAGGAGGCCTTCTCTTTATATTTTCCCCATCTAATTTTAGCATCTTTATATATTTATTGTTTATTATTTATCAATACTCAGTTGCCTCAAGGAAAGAAAAATAATGTAAAAGCATATACCTTCCGATAATCAAGTATTCCTTCAAAGGGAAGCTCCAATTCATCACTGATTATAACAGGGATGCAACCACTAACAATGGCATCAAACAATCTAGCAGATGATGGAGTGTCTCCAGCTGGACTTAGACAAAAAATAGATCTGAATGCCAGTAAAACAACTTGGTCATATTAGTGAAGGAGCCATTCTTCATTAAGAAATATGGAATATAACAGAATCCTACTTGCGCATGCCATCCTGAGCAGCTGCTTTTCCTCCCTGCCCAGCTGTTCCCTCCTCTATAACAACACCCTCAGCACCATTTAATTCTGATACAATTTTTGCACGTATCTTTCCTCCCTGAGAAGAGGAAGACATCAGAGTCAGCAGCTACGTCCAAAACCAAAAAGAAAATGATAATATAATAAATTAAAATAAAAAAGAAAAGAATATTAGGGTGCAACAGGACGGTCTATCAGAGAACTGTCTATGGTTTGATGTCTTTCATAATGAAGGGGCTCTAAACCTAACTTTTCTGCTCTGCATAAAGAATATCATAACCCAACAATAAAGCATATCTACCTGATCAAACATCTTCCCTGACTGTTAATTCATATATTTTCTAGTTATCCAGATAAATAACCTTTCCTTTCTGAACCATAATAACCTTTTTCACTAACTATTTTGAAGAAGTCAACCAGGATGATACTGCTTGAAGATAGGACATCCCAGATGGAGTCATTAAATGGTGAAATATACCTGCAAAATACATATGCAGCAGGCTGCTTCCTTCCACCCAGTATGAAATATTCCTAATAGACATTACAACTATCCCTTACCATATCACAAGTGTAAAGCAATAATATTATGATCAGATAAAATAATTTTAAGGAAACTTAATGTAATTGCTGGCAAAGACTTACAGCATTTCTTTTGAGCCTGCCACGAAAGAAAAGCAATGTGGTTCTCTTTGATTCACTTTCTGACAGGCATTTCTCATCGCATACATCAACATTTGAAACATAAGGAAGAATAAGGTCTTTTTCCAGCCATACTTCACCAGGCTTGTACCTAAATGCACATATTATCTCCTTCAATTTTAAACAGCCAAAAAACATTTGGCTCATACTTTAAGCATTTAAGAATAAGTAATAGAGTATGAGTTATTCATCAAAAAGAAAAGCTAATAGAATATATATTCAAACACTCACCAGTTTCCTGTGGAGTCCATATCTGGTAAAAGCCAAATTGCCTTTTTCATAAATCTTCTGACGGACTTGAATGACCAAGGATGATGAACTGGAAGTATATGGTCCCTTCCTTCAGATCGCTTCCAGGCGGGTTGATCTGTCACCCATTTCAAAGCCTCCTATGTTCACAAAAGAAATGCACACCAAATATTAAATTTTATAGAAAATAATGCGAATTGCATAATCATTCTATAAATTTTAGAACACAAACAAACATTATAATCTCCCACCACATCCATCTGACACAGAAGTTGGGCATCATTTTATGCTAGGATGTTCCACATAATCTACTAAAGCAATCTGCATATCAAGAGAGAAAAAGTATCTAAATCCTATGAAGTTCTGTTACCATGCTATTGAAGCATATGTTTTCTTAAGACGAGCATTTATAATGTTGGAATGCACTAAAAATCATTTCCTATATCAGGTCTAGAAGAAGAAAACATAAAAACACCCTCAAGGAAGCATACATTCCAGGAAGAAATCCAATCAAACATGTTTTTTAAACCCTGTGCACTAAAGATCTTACTAAATTATTACATTTGAACTTCATTGGATACTGAAAAGAAGAAAGATCATAATATAAGTATAAAAAAGAGTTCCTTGTTTACTGATTTAATTGTATATGTAGATGACATCGTTGTGATAGGAAATGATGTGGATGGAATTGAGCAGGTAAAGCAATTTCTTAGCAGGGAATTTGAAATTAAGGACCTAGGGGAGTTAAGGTACTTCCTAAGTATTGAGGTGGCCAAACCCAAGCATGGTATAATCTCTCAGAGCAAGTATAATATGGTTATGGACTTATTAAAGGTGCTTCCTTGTTGGTTGAGAGTTCTCAATATTTACTGTAATGGTCAAGACAGAAGAGTGGTTTTGGGAGGCTCAGTTTATCTTGTGTAGGGCCAAACCTATTTGTACAGGGATTTGATTCATGGTTGCTTTAAATGGGGTGGGCATGAAGTTTGTTTTCTGTTGTAGTCATCTCTGGGTACGGGTTTGCTATTGCTGTTTGAATTTTGGAAGTTGTCAGGAGGGACTGAGTTTGGTTTGACTTCTAGAAGGTGTGGGTCCCTTTGGTAGTTTTACGATTGTATTTCCTTTCAGGTGACTTGTCACCTTTCTTGTTATCTTCTTTTTCTTTTAATAATTTTTTACCTTCAAAAAAATTCAGGGAAACTGGACTTAAGCCTACAGATATACCTATTGATCCTAATCACAAGCTATCAACTACTAATCGACAACTTCTTAAAGATAAGGGAATATTTTAGAGACTTGTTGAGGGATTTTTATAGATATGCATGACTTGGCTAGATATTCCTTATGCAATAGGTGTCACAAACCATTATACGCACTCACCCAAAGATACCAATTCAACCAAAGTTAAGAGGGTTCTTGCATACTTGGAAGGGTAGCTAGGTAGAGAAGATAGATTTACTGATGCATACAGGGTAAGATCAGTAAATGACAGAAGATCTACATCGGGCAACTATAGTTTGGCTGCTGGCAATGTTGTTTCTTGGAGGAGCAAAAAGGAAACTGTAGTTGCTCACTCTAGTGATGCAGTTGAGTATCAAGCTACGGTGAATAGTATTTCAAAGATGCTATGGGTTTAGTTTATGATAAGCCCATTAGGATGTGCTTTTATGATATGCAGCCAACAACACTGCTCATAATCCAATGCAACATGACATAACTAAACATATTGAGGTTTGACAAGCACTTTATTAGGGAGTGTGTCGTGTCAGGCAAAGTCTGCCTTCAATATGTGAATAAGGATGGACAGCTAGTTGATGTATTAACTAAAGGTCTCATCAAGGAGAAGGTTGACCATTGTGTAGGAAAGCTAGGCATGGTTAATCTATAAGCCAGCTTCTGGGGGGGGGGGGGTGGTGAAAGATATGCCATCATGTTATAGAATCTTCTCTAGGCCTTATTGACCCTTAGCTCTATTTATTTATGCTGTTTATGTTTGTTTATTATTGGGCTTTCTTTATTAGTGGGACCATGGGCTTTACTTAAGTTATACTAGCAGAGACCTGTGCAATGCACGGGCTTTGTTAAGCGAAATCTAAACAATAGAAACACATAAGAGCAGACAATTTTTTATGTTTTAACTATTTAAATAGTTAATAATTATTTATGTTTTATATACTACTTTTAATAATTCGATTTCATGAACGAATGTAATCTAGCGGTATTTATGTAGGAAAAATCCTTATTGTGTTATTTTTTTGAGTTTCTTTATGTGTAGTTCATTTTATCTAGAACATATCATGGGAACAAGGAAAATCTCATGGAAGGTTATAGGGAGAAGATAATAAAAAGAAAAGGCTAAGATCTTTATTAATTGGAACCATGTCCAGTTAGGAAATAATATAGTCCTAAGTGATTGTGACATTGTATGGTATTTCATCATCATCATCATCCAAGCCTTATCCCAACTATATAGTGTTGGCTAGATTGTGTTGTATTTGTTTTCTGAATTGAGAACCGAATTTAGTTGAATAATATATTCAGCTTAGTTTCCTAAAAAAATCAAATTGAATTAAGTTGAATATTAGGGTTTATTGATTGTCTTCAGGGAATTTATCCCTCCATTTTCTCCTTATATAATGTTATTAAATACCAAAATTCTGCCTTCTTCTTTCTCTTCTATTGCATGGTTTGGAGAACAGCTAAGAATAGATACCCTGCCCCTTCTGATTCTCACTCAATAAACATTGTTTGGTGGAATTTCAGAATTTCCATCCTCATTAGAATTCTACTTTTGACACTCTAGCTGTCCATCACAAAAGGCCCAAATATGATGTTGTGCAGAATTTAGGGAAACCAATGAAACAGTTGCATCAGACAGAATCAAAAAGTGACTCTAGCTCTCAAAATCAATAATACTTCTCTAGCTTTTATCTATCATCTTACAAGTTTTACATGTTTCAGAGGCATTTATTCTAATTTTTCTTCTTCAACTGGTTAACTTCTATTCACAGACTTGAAGATGAAACAAACGTTTTCTCAGAACTTCATCATAGCATTCGCCTGTGCAAACTGAACTAAATAGCTGGTTGTTATCTAATAAGTGAGAAAACATAACGACGTTTTTTCAGTTTCGCACACACATGACAACATTAAATCACAAATAAAAAATAAACCTTAGAAATGCACGCACACCCTGTAAAGAGCCTTGCACTGCTGTTTCTCCAATAAGAAGAAGCTGATAGTAGTGAAGAACGGGATGTAAAACAGGTCCGCTTCCTCTTGCCGATGGACCCTTATAACATTTTTCAGTAGCCTCTCTGATTTTGGAGCAATCAGGTCCGCCCATAGCCAGTAATCAATGGAATGCTGTATACAGATAAACGAAATAATCACTCAAGAACCATAGCAAGTATCTCTAGAAAGACCAACTACTCCATTTTCTAATTAAGAACTCGGTATATCACCATTAAATTAAATCATTTTCCAATTAATAGTCTTCTCAAAAAAAAAATATATATATATATATATACCAACCTGTTCGATTAAGCGATGAACAGGGCTGCCATTAGAAGTTAGATTTGATGTTTCCTTGTATGTGTTTCTAAACAGCCAAAGTAGATCATAAGTAAATTTCGACGGCATTTCGTAGACATAAACCCTGAGAACCGAAGCCGGCGGAGTCGGAGCCGGAAAGAATGGATTCTCGTGAATCCTCTCCATTTCAGTCTTCCAGATCGAATTGTCCAAAGCCTTTACAGCTTCTTCATCCGCATCGACACCCACCGAATCGTCCGAAGCAGGCTGCGATTTCAGACCGTGAGATCTGGTTGTAAGGAATTTCTCGAGAGAGGCAACGAAAGAGAAATCTGGTTTGACGTTAGAGTTGGGATCTGGGAACAATGGGAGAGAGGAGTGGGAGGGCGTGTGGGAGGTGGAGGAAGAGAAGAAGAAGAAAACTAATCCGATGGCGAGAAGGATAATGACGAAGAGGAATAATGATGACGTGGTAGGAGTACGAAAGGAGGGGTGCGAGGAGGATCTGTCTCTGGTTGCATTGCCGGAGAAGAGATGTTTTCCAGCCATCTGTCTGTGGTTGAAGTTACCGGAGAATCTCTGTGTGTTTTCACTTATCAGTCGCTCAGGGACTATCTAGATCTGGGCCTACAGGAGTTCGGAGCAGCTGACACAAGTGGGCTAACAATAAACGCAAAGGTTAAAGGGAAAAATTCTCCTCTGTGACAGCCGACATGACAGGAGTGGCCCGGCCAGCAAAGCCCCGCTTGGTCCGGCCTGAAAATTCCGGGCTTGATTCTAGGTTTTTTTTGTTTAGCTCGGCCTGCTATTAGTGGGGACGCGTGCGATGCACGAGAAAATTTGAAATATTTAATAAATTTATTATTAATTAATATTAAATTAATAATCAAAATTTACTGTTAATTAATTAAAAGTATTCAAAGTTATTTAATATTGATTTACAAAAAATAATTATTATTAGTTTAATATGCATAAATATTTTTTTAATAAATTTAATTTTATTAATAATTTATAGTAATTTTAATAATTGTTATTATTTTTAAATGAAATTTTGATTAACTTTAAATAAATAAAAATAATTACAAAAGCTAACATTTTTATTAATTTCACTAATAATTAACAATTATATAGGAATAACAATGGGGCGAGTTTAGGGTGGGGT